TGCCAATGAATTAGCTCTTTATTTCTGATACGGCGGCCATCTTGAATTCCATCGTTTTAAGTAAGACATTATGATATGCCGAGGGGGCAACTATTTGAATTATTTTTTATATATATATATTTAAACATATTTTGTCGATACATTAACCCCAAGAGCGTAAAACTCATCGAGGGGGAATCAGCTAGAAAATTCATAGACTGCACAGCTGTCAGGGTGTCCTTTTATATAACTTTGTGCTTTTCAATGGCAAGCACATCTTAAAAAAAGCGATCGAATTTGCTGGTAGTTGGAACAATATGCGAAACACCAAGACTTCAAATTATTTGAAAACGTAACTCCGCCAGTCTATGGTTTATAAATTTTCTACGCCTTTGCCCCTCCGCATCCCATAATTCAATCTGGTGGCCGTATCAGTAAAACGGTCTATTCCAGGAGTTTTCAAGGCTATGAACTTCAAAATTGCAGAACTAGTAATCGGAAATACTTCAGCGACAAAAGTCCCCCAGGGGACCCTAGTGAGGCTATTTAGTTCAGTCCTGTTCTGAGAGAGCGAACAATGATGCATCCTGATCTAGCTTTAGTACAAACATCTTTCGTCCATCATACATTAATATGGTGTTGTTTGTACTGAAGTTAGACCACAAACTGTTCATCGAACTCGTGAAAATCACATCTGATCACAACAAAATTACAGCACTTTTTCAGGATTTGGTTAAAAAGTGAAATTTCCAAGCAGTTTTTCCAGATAGTGCCTGAAAGAAGTTCCAGGGACCTACCACTTTTTGGTATTATCTTGTAGGCGAGAGAACGACTGTCCAAAGAACTTCCACGACGAACGACTGTAAACTCGAAGCCATCTCCTTCCTAGAAGTTTAAATGACTCCGTTATACTGACATATCAAAACGTTCCACAAGCCCTACTGCCCCTCTTTTGTTTTATCTGTTGCTGTCATTTAAGAGGCTGTCTCTGTAAGAACCTCATAACCATTTAGGGTGAAAAAACAGATTTCTTTCAAACTTTGTGTGTGAGTGTGCCCTTCCAAGGTTATTTCCAAAACACGTTTTGTTTTGTGTCTTTAATTAGTTCATATTAGTTCCTAAGCCATATTTTAGCCAACTGGCCAAGGTCGATTATCGATGGTCGGTAAAATTAAAATATCTAGATATAAATAAGTTCATAATTGAATTTAAGGCTACTCGTCTTTGCATAAGATATATATCTACTATAATATGGAAGGATTTAGTGTTGTGATGATTTGTTATGGATTTACGAATTTTCAAACATCGCCCAAATTTCATGAATGAGAAGTAGTCAAAATCACTAATTTGGCCCCCAAGGGGACCCCCCTGAAACTTTGCAAAAAAGCGCCGACACACAAAACAAAATGTGTTTTGGAAATAACCTTGGAAGGGCACACTCACACACAAAGTTTGAAAGAATTCTGTTTTTTCACCCAAAATGGTTGTGAGGTTCTTACAGAGACAGCCTCTTTCTGCTTCGCTCAAACTTTCTGACGAGACGTTTTTCAGCAGGTGAAAAAATTATAACAACCAGCCAATCAAAGTTGTCAGTATTTTTGGCGCGAAACGAAATGCATCCTCGACCACGTCAACCGCGACTCTGTCG